TGTTTCGGCGGCAATCGCGAAACCGCACACGACTCGTTTGCTCGTTATCTATTGACCAAAACGCACACTGGTTGTTCCTTCCTTCGGCTGTTCTTTGTCCTCTTTCCCTCCGTCCCGGGAAACAATGGGCCCACTTGAACGAGATTGAGCAACAGTTAGCGACCCCAGAGGGAAAACACAACGGAAGCTGCGAAGGTGAATTTGAGTTCCGACTTCCCCAGTGCTCTTTCCAAGTGAGCCCAGTCCACTCTGCCTTCACTCTTGGCCAGGCAGGGCCGTCGAGGAGGGAAGGAGTCACAAGCGCAGGTAGGAAGGGCAGGCTGCCAGCTGACGGTGGCTATCGCAGTATCCACTGCGCTCCTTCCACGGCGTCTGTCAAGCACATTTGGATCGATTCTTGAAACTGACGGAAATCTCAAAGCTCCCAACATCGGAGAACACCAAGTTATCTCTCTTGACTAGGCATCGGCCCCAGAGGCGCCGCACGAGGCGCTGTTCTTTCCTGACCCAGCATGGAATTCAGTTTCGGTGCCATCCATGATGTCGTCCATGCGACCGCCGCCTTCTGCGAAGAGACTGCCGGCGACAGCGACCTCAGCAGTCACTATGGCGACTATGGCCAGGGCTCCGAAACACCCTCATCTGGCGAAGAAGACGCCATCGAGCTCGTTGTAGACGCCGCCGACTGGCGCTATTCACAGCTCAACCCCCGGAACCGCATCGACAGCCTCGCGCCGCTCGCCAGGCCCCTGTGGCGCATCGACGGCAGCGCCGGTTTTGGTACGCAGTTCTACGCCTACCCGCTCTTCCTCGAGCCCGGCGGACCGCCGCCCATGCACCTCGATGTGTTTATTAAGGAGCAGGCGGCTTACCCGCCCCTGTTGCGCGAGCTGCTGGACATGGGCCCGTCCTACCATACAAAGGACGCGCCTCGCGTGCGCCGCCTCGGCATTGCCCAGTACATCTTGCGCGTCCTTCAGTGGCACACAGTGCACCCCAAGGGCGCCCTGCAGCCCCAGACGGTGGAGAGTCTGTACAAGAACGGGCCCTTTGGCTCAATGTTTCTCATTGAGAACCTGTGCTGCCACATCCACAAGGTCCGCATCAACATGTCGCTCAACTACGCCCTAGAAGGCGACCTGATGTCCTACAGGGCGCTCAAAAACATGTGGGGCTTGTCAGATGGCGGCGACGATGGTGGTGGTGTCGTTGGTACTGGCAAAAACAAGGACAGGAGGAAGACGTGGGAGACCGAGACCGAAATTAAGACAGAGACAAAACGGCCGTTGCCACCGGAGATCAGCATCCTCAATGTGCGCCTGGTGCGTCAGCTGCACGACAGCATCAGCCTCGTCGAGGTCTCCTCCTGGCCTGTAGCATCGGATAATACAGACGAGGGCGACGGCGAGTGCGGTCGTGTCACGCCAGGGGGCAAAACCAAGCACCACGGCAAGGGCGGCGAGGGCAACAAGGGCATCAACGCCAAGCGAGCCAGCCGGGACAAGGACGCGTTTGAAGATGTGGTTGAGGGTAGGTCTTTCGAGCTCGAGCTTGTCATTCTCAAGTCGCTCACCAGTGGTGTCAAATACATGTACCAGGAGCTGCGTGCGCTGCTCCGGGACATTCCGCCGCACGACGGTGTCCTCACGCGCCCGCTGCACGTCATCTCCAAAGAATGCCTCTTTGGCAAAAAAAGGGGCGTTATTGGCTTCACCATGCCCTACTACGAAGCTGGCTCGCTGCGCGACGCCCTGCCTCTACTGCGCATCCACGGCCAGCTCACCTACGCCGACCAACTGCGCTGGGCCTGCCAGATTACCGAGGCCATGTGCCACGTCTGGTACCAGGGCCACGGCTTCTACTACCCAGACCTGCGCCTTGATAATGTCGTCCTCACGGCCCAAGCACCCGCCGGTAACGCCGGCCTCGTTGACTTTGAACAGCGCGGCGTGTGGTGCAGCTTCTCGGCGCCCGAGGTCGATTACATTGAGAGCATACGAGTAATCGCCTTTGACAACGACGACGGTACTGTCTACGGCATCCCAGAGGAGGTTGGCTTCCAGTTTCAGCAGAGGCTGATTTCCTGCTACGAAGCGGCGGCGGCGGCGAAGGTCGCAGACGCGGCCGGGAGTTGGAAGATACCCGTCCATCCACCACCGCTCAGCAAAATCGGCCGGCATCCGCTGATCCGCCTCGGGCAGGACACCAGATACAGTAATCCAGAATATGGTTACAATGTAGTCTACAACTGCCTGACGAAGTCCGAGCAAGAAGCCTCCATGGTCTACATGCTCGGCCGCCTGCTGTGGTGCATCTTTGAAGGCATGAGCGCGCCCCATCGTGGTGCCGTGTGGATGTCGTACCCGCGGGAGCCGGAGCTCGAGTTCCCAGCATTCCGGTTGACGCCGCCTGATGTCAAGTCCATGATCCTCAAGTGCTTCGGTGACGTCGGAGCCAAGGAACAGAGCAAATTTATGCGCCAGAATAGCAAGATTTACTTAAAACGTACTCGCGGAACAACCACCGCCACTAAAAGCAACGGTGAGCCTTCCTATGAGCTCGTCGGCGACGGCCTCAAGTTGAAGGCGCGTGACTATTGGCAAATCAAGCTGGCCGAAGGCGAAGAGTGGGTCAAGGAACGGAATGCAAGACTTGCCGGTGTGAAGGGAGATGGTAACAAGGACGACGACGACAACAACAACAACAACAACAACAACAGAGCGCATGTCATCGGCGAGGACGAACATGCTGAGCGAAACTCAGACGGATCAACAGTCGAAAAATCGGCTCATGGCCGGCCCACCCTTCGGCAGGTCCTGCAGTGGCTGCAGAAGCTGCAGAGGGAGATGGATGGCCTCTAAATGACTGTGAATGTGCTAAATGATTTATGATCGCCTGGCAGAAGAGGAGGTCAACGGGCCGTTAGCCTGAAATGATCATTAGATACGATGTCGATGAAAACTAACAACAATGTGACCATGATAGGAATATGGTTGGCCGTGTGAAAAGTTGTAACCTCTACGGAGCACATGATATTCAAACTTTGAAGGTACCATGCGGGATATACGGCCGGAGAATGTCAAGCCACGAAGCATGTGACCTCATATTAAAGAGCGAATATCGGAGGTTGTTTGCATTTCGTTTTATTTGCTGAAGCGTGAAAACTCAGACGCCTCACAGGATCGTAGAAAAAAAAAGAAAAAAAAAAACGGGTAGATCATCCGACCCGGGAAACAGGTCTGTCACATAAGTACCGGAGTAGGCGAGATGAAAGAAAAGACAGGGGTCGATGTGGTCGATATGGTAAAGACAGCAGGATTCCCCCTCACTTGATACACGGCGGAGCCGAGAAAGCAAAACTGGAGAGTAGTTTAAAGGAATCACGGGAAAAGACAAAAAAAAAAAAAAGAAATGGCGCAAAGCATCTTTGAAGAGGAGGGGTGTGTGCATTGGAAAGGACCCAAGAGCGAGATCGCACGACGATAACTGGGGACGATGCAGCTATTAGTGACTGAAAACGCGGAGTACGGAGTATTCGATCGAGGAGCGAGAGAAAAAAGAAAGGGGTGAAAGTGCTGATTGTCCGTATCTTTACGAGTCGTGCTTGGATGAGGTGTTGTTGAGAGGAAGAGATAAGGCTGGATGGCCTGCAAGTGCCTAGAAGGAAAAGGTCGGTGGGCCGTGGGCCGTGGGACTCGGGAGAGCGCCCAGCGACTGGCTCGGCCGGTGCCCCGACGTGGGCCGCCCGCATCCTAGCAATTTGCTGCAGAGATAAGATGCCGCCCTTGCTGTCAGTTCCTCCCGCAGGTAGCCTAAAGCCGAAGTTCGAAAGGAGACGACATGTCCATGCCGTCTACGTCGTACTCGGCACTATGTAGCGTAAATCGCATAGACAAGAGGCTACGACTTTCAGTAGTGGGTGAACCGATCAGAAAACTGCGCTTGGGAACCGGGGCCGAAGGCTGTATCCAATTCGGAGCTATGCTGACAGTAAAGCTTGGGCCCTCTGATTTGTCGAGATAAGGCAAGTGTTGCGTGTTTGTTGACTGGACAAATTGTAACTGGGGCTGACAGTGGAGGATTTGGGCGTTGCATCTCGTATATACGTTGGTGATTGCCACTGTCGTATCACTTTGTGTGGCCCTGTTGTATGCTGCATGCTGCATGCTGCGTGCTGCAATGGAGCGTTTCTTTCTTATTTTGTAGTGGTATTTTCGGTTGTCCGTGGCGCTGCCAAGGCTGATGGTCGTGAGGGCGGATCTGGACCACAACAAGAATCAAATACAGCGCATCAGTCACGGAGGGCACTAGATGAGCTGTGTCAGATTGATAGCCGGGCTCCGTGGTCCAGACTATCATGAGAGGTTCCTACCTGCACAGTGGGCAATCTTATGATTATCCTGACTACTCGTAGGCAGGGACAGAGGTACCTTGGGTTGCTCGAACTGAAATGGGATGCATGCGTAAAGTTATGTGCAGAACGGTCCGAAAGGCCACTGATAATGGGGTGGTGACAAGATTGACGCAGCTGGCTTGGCTATGACTCTGAGCAACTAGATACGGATAGTAATAAGGAGTTAGGGAGAAGACGATCCGAGGCGGGATCTTAGTAAAGAAATGTATATTCTGAAAGACAAAAAGGAAAATCCAAGTATATATGCTAGCGAGTGGGTATTTGACCATTCGACAAAATGCCATCCAATAAAAAAAAATAAAAAAATTCGTAGGTCCCAAAAGCAGATATGTTCCCCAAAAAGATTTAAGAAGAAAAGACAATGAAAAAAGTCGACAAGGCTGCGCGATGGTTGATAAGACAAGACAAGAAGAAACGCTGCAGTATGCAACAAAAATAGACAATCGACAGGACCGGCTTTTATCTGATGATGGTACGGTACCATCCTGTTCATATTGGATTTAACCTGAAAGCCAAATGAGGACGGGTGGCGAATAAGAGAAAAAGCAGATGAATGTGAGATAGGAAAATAACAAGGCAGGACAATCTACTGCGTCGGCGAGGGTGGCGAGGGTGGTAGAACCACCTTCTCGGACTGCACAGCATCCTCTTGGTCGGCGATGGCATGCAGTTGTTGATGGATGCCTTGGCCGTTGCTGCCGCTAAGGCTCTTTTCCTTGCCGTTGCTGCTCTGGCTGTTGAGGTAGTTACGCTCCTCCTGGTCAGCAGTCGAGGCACCAGCCAACGATGGCGGGCGGGTGCCGTTCATGAGCATCTGATGACCCTCGATGCCGTGCTGCGGGATGATGCGGATGCCGTCCTCCTTGGGATCCTTCTCAGCGGGGGTCCAAGCAAGGTAGTCGCGACGGACTTCGACATAGTCGTACGCAAACTCGCCGTGCTGGTCGTCGTCCATACCGAGCAGCTCGGCCTCTTCGCTGGCGCGCAGGTGCAAGCCAGGCACGAGGTCGATCGCCTTGGCGAGCAGGGCGGAAACGGTGAAAGCGTACAAGGTGGCAGCGAGGAGATAGGCGATCTGGACGTAGAGCTGGCGCCAGTTGTGGTTAATGAAGCCGCCGGTCACACCGTTGTTGACACCGTCGAGGCCGATGATGTAGTCGGCAGCGAAGAACGCGTTGAACGTAAGGCCGACCATGCCGCCGACAGCGTGCTCCGCGAACACATCCAGGGAATCATCGATACGGAGAACAAACTTCACTGTTGGGTGTTAGAGGAAAGTGTCCTGAAAGATTGGAAAGGGCCCAATATATATATGAACATACCCTTGGTGGCAAAGTTACAAGCGATGCCCGTGACAATACCCAGGATGATGCTGGCCCAGGGCGTGATGAAACCCGAGGCAGGCGTGGCGGAAACGAGGCCCGAAATGGTGCCGGAACACCAGCCGACCAGCGACCATTTACGGGCCAGACGGAAATCAAGCAGACACCAGGTCATGGCTGCAAACATGGCCGTGAGGCACGAGTTCCAGCAGGCCATGGTGGCACGCAAGTTGGCGCCAAAGGCAGAGCCGCCGTTGAAACCCAGCCAGCCGAACCAGAGCAGGATGGTGCCGAGCGTGATCAGAGAAATGTTGTGCGGGCGGAAGTTGAGCATCATCTTCTCGTTGCGGCGGCCGAGCACCCACGAATAGGCTAGAGCAGACACACCAGAGCAGATCTCGACGGGGCCGCCGCCAGCATAGTCGAGGACGCCGTACTTGAAAGCCCAGCCGTTGACATTCCAGACCCAGCAGGCGATGGGGCAGTAGACGATGGTGGCCCAGAAGAACGTGAACACCATGGCGGGGATGACACGGCCGCGCTCGGCCGTGGCGCCAACGACGAGGGCCGCAGTGACTGCACAAAATTGCATCTGATAGAAGGAGTACAGCAGCTCGGGGATGAGAGGCGAGCCGGGCGAAGGGACAGCGAGGGTGTTGAGAAGACCGAAATGGTGCAAGTCGCCGATGAAACCGTTTGTTGCTGTACTGCTGAAGGCGAGCGAATAGCCCCAGAAGTACCACTGGAAGACGATAACACTAAACGACATCATACAGACCCAGATCAGAGAGAGAGCCGACTTTCGTCGTGCGAGGCCGGAGTAGAGGAAGGCGATACCGGGTACCATGATGAGGACCATACAAGAGGCGACGATAATGAATGCCTGGTCACCAGATTGATACCACTGGTTGAGGTTTTCGTTGACTTTGAGGCTGTTAGTTACCTCGAGGACAAGGAAAAAATGCTATCGTCACCCGATGCAGACGGTTTACACGTACCGGAATCACCGCCGGTGCCGGAATCTGTGCCATTGAAGACGGCCGGCGCGCCGGTCCAGGAATATGACATAGCGGATGAGGTTTGTAGGGGAGGATGAGAGTGTGAGAGGCTGCGGTTCTAGTATCGGTTGAGTGTTCGTATGTGAGGGCAAAAGAGGCGTAAAAACGCCCTTTTTGGTTGCCTGTGTGTAACAATCGTCACTGCTGGTTGGTACGACGGGTTATGGTTGGCGGATCTATTAACGGTCGAGATACAAGAAAGAACCAGTCTAGATGGCGATGATGACTGGGCGAGTAGTGAAGAATGAGGCGAGAGAAGGGAAAAAACGAGAAAGGAGCGTAGGTTGTCGAAGTGTGTCCACGTCGTAAGGAATGCAAAAGATGAAATGGACGCGAGCAGGCGGATGAAGACGCGGAGATCAGAAGTTGAGGGATGGAGATGGAGGTGGAGGTCGAGAAGAGAAGTCTGGAGAACAAGAAACAAAGAACAAGAAAAGGTTCCGGAACACAGCATCTATATGTACAAAGTACGAAATATGGGAAGCAATACAGGATGGGGCTGGACCCATTTGAGGATCGTCTCTAGAAAGGAAGCCAGCCAAAGACTATGGGTGATAAGAGGGAAGGCACGACTAGGGATGGGAAGGAACGAAGGGGGGGGGTGAAGGACGTATTACACATGTTTCTTAGAAAACAAAATAGCAAATAGCCACCGGCCACAAGCTTGGATCTTGCCAGTCCTCGACCGGGGTGGGAGGAAGGGGGGGAACATTGAACCTTGCACACTACGGAATTGCCCTTTCCTCCAAAACGGCTGAGAGAAAATACTAGGAAACAAAAAGAGCAAGAGCGAAGCGACCGACAACGGGAAGGCGCGTGGGCGACAGACATCTTGCGACAACCTACGGAATTCTCCACACGAGTTTTGTAGGCGTAAGGAGCGCGGTGCGCCCGAAGAGGGAACAAGGGAAGGGGATTCAACGGGGGACAGGCTGTGGACTGTCCGGGGGCTATCTGAGGACGAACCCGAAATAGTGTGTGTAATTGTTTGCCGTCAGAGGCAGGAATGGGTCTGAAACCGAAAAAGGTAAAAACGAAATCCAGTGGTTGTTTAAACTAATGAGAGAGGCACGAAAAAGAAACGTATGAAAGAGGTACAGTACTTTTGTCGGCCGCGTAAAGGCCATACAATACACCGTACCGGTCTTACTCCTACCTCGCTCGGCCGTGCCTTACTTATATGGAGCTGGCAGCATAGAAAGAGACTTGTAAAAGAGAGATAAAGTGCAGCAAAGCGAAAGACTTTTCGCCCCCGTTCCACTCCGACGGCCAGGCCTAGCGTGGAAATCACGAGCGCACCCAAACAAGCCTACTGAGTACGCAACGACCGGCGCTCCTTCTCTAAAAGACGGGTCTTGTGCGCAGTGGTTAAAGTGACATGGAGGTGTGCTCTTTCCCTCTTAGTCTTTCTCTAAGTTGATCCTTTTACATGTCCTGCTATGAAACTACGAGTGCACGTATGAAAACAAGGGTGGGCACATCGCCATGCGACGCCATGATATGTGAAATTCAAATGTGAGCATCATATGAGAAATAGATGCGCAGCGTGGGAGGGAGTGCATGCAAGACCCAGGCCACCCGTATACCACGCAAGCCAGACGGCTGGACAGGACACACGCATACAAAGAAGGGGCTGTGTCTAGGTCACGGCAGCAATATGGAACAGAAGACGGGGAGGAAGGCGCGACAGGCCAGACCAAAAGAAAAGAAAGAGCTACTGTCCGCGCCTGCTCCGTAGCTCGGCTGCGACGAAATCGAGGGCATGTCTTTTGGTTTCTGTCAGGATGCGAGGGCAGGTACGAAACGGATGAAGCCGTATTCGGAAAGAACGTAGTGACAAGCAGAGCAAGTCCGAATGCGGCCTCAACCTTTGAAATGTGTCCATTTCTTCCCATAATACACATTTGAAATCGACTCTGTTTTCTAAGTGCTTTTGACGGTGCAATGCTCGTCGCAAGCTGGTAGGACTTGAAAGGTGCACGTCAGAGTCATCTTTTTTCTCTGCTCGTTTTCTTCCGTCGACTTTCCTTTCACTCTGCTGATACATCTTTGTATCCACGCCCCTAGTTTCCACTGTAAATTTTAGTGCCACGCCCTTTTTTGATACTTACGCATTTAATGATGAAAAGAGTCTAGAATCCCTGTCTCTGGAAACCGGCCAAAAAAGGTAAGGGCGAACAAGAAAAGCGTAAGGAAAATAGCATAAATAACGAGAAGTAACGATGTTATTTCGACACAACGAGCGTCAACTTGAAACGACGTGAGAGGCTTTCTTCGTGAGAAGCCGCCCACATCGGACATCTCGACAGTTGACAATTAGCAATTGCCAATTGTGAACGTCCACCGGCGCGAACAATCAGCGAGGCACAAACCTACAACCCACGGCCATCTGCAAGGACGGGATGGCGATGGGACCTGAACAGTCGCACTGTCCCCATTACTGTGCACCCCCTACTCCGTACACATCTCTTAGATGCGGGATGCATGTCGTTTGCAGCATGGCTTTCCACATCAGATGTGTTGTTGTTCGGCACCCCCATCTTTCTTTGGCTGGCAAATTCTCCAGGTCCCGGTTCGGCAGCGGGAGACATTATAATTTGTGGTTTCCATGTGCCCATCGAGTGATCATATCAAAGACTCAGTATATACTCTTCGTTTTGTACGAATCAGAAGCGTTGTTTGTGATGCTTTTGTCAGGCCCGCTCGTAACTCTTCATGCTGTCGTTTAGTCGTATGGTGTACTTGACCTTTTCCCCACGCGGCAACCAAAGTCTTTCTTACCCGGGAATCCAAGATGGACAAGAGGCAGGCCGGCGACTTACGGAGTAAACCTGTGAGCATTACTTACAACAGAACGATATTGATGCGGTGGACATGACGGTTTGGCGTGGAAATGCCGCAGTGTGATTCTCCAAAGTTTTACCCTCGTCGCCTCGTCGACTCATCTGCCCCATCCAGCCCTATGATTCTCCTCTTTTTGGCTTTTGGGGTCAAATCTTGAGGTTTTTGGCGCGAGGCATGACCTGTCTCCTCATGTCAAGGGTGGCACACATGATTGTTCTTGCATCTTGTAAGCCTGCCATCCCTTGAGGTGAAAAATCTGCATGGGCATGCTCCAATGCAATACCTGAGCTTTCTCCGCTTTCTCTGCGCCCTGTGCTCCGTTTGAAAAGCCAGTCTTTAATTTGTCGTGTTGTACTGGATGCAACAAACTTTGAAAAGAACAGAGAATACGACGTAACTCACACATACTCCGTAAATCTACCGAGTAATAAATCCACGAGCAAAGCACAAGAGCATTTGCCAACTCTGATAGACACTTCCCACGCCCCAGGTGCCCGACCGCGCCTAGCGACTCCCCCTTGCCTTCTCAGTCTTGCGAGCCAGTTAGGTCAATGGGAAGGCTATGTCGTTTATGTTCAGTAATAGGGAAAAGACCTCACAGGCGGCCGATTGCGGAAAGAGCGGGTAGGGAACAATCCGGCAGTGACAGATGGTGTGGTCCCTAAGCTCATTTGTGCCAGTAAAGGAGGATTTGCCATTTTTTCCTTCAAAGCTGCATAGTAAAGAGAGAAGGCTACGAGAAAGCTTGTAAAAAATTCGTCTGACAACAAATATACTGGGCAATACCTAAACCTCACGCACAATTTCCATTATTGACGCGCAATATGTGCGTCTCTTCTTGACACAGATCCTCTCATCTTTCTTTCCTCTTTTGTTGCATTTGTATCCCATGTCCATTGCTTGTGATCGTGCGGAGATTGCACGTGACTGTTTGTAGGCTCCAACTCTCCACTTTCCCCTTCCCCCTGCACGATGTCGCCTGTGCTCTTGCCTTGTCTGTTTGTTCTTCTTTCTTGTCATTGTCTGTCGGCGGTTCCTTTCCTCGCGTGCCTTTTCGTCAGTTTCGTCGCCCAGTGCCGTGGTGCGGTCTTGTCCCGTCTTTTTTCTGGGCCTCTTCGTGTGCAAACACTTGAAAGCGTGCCTGCCTCGCCAATTGCCCTGTCAAAGCGGGCCAGGTGGGACCCGACATCTAGGGCCCCAAGCCTAATTAGGGATTCTGTTACTTAATGGTTATGTACAGCAGCAGCAAACCGTTAGCAACGCACCTGCCTCACAACCAGTCCTGGCCACGCGATAAAACGAGCCCAGGGCCCATCACTGTCCATTTCTTACTGTCCACCACCAAAATGCCCAGCCTTTAGGGAAAAGACAAGAGTGAGCCAGGGACCTGGATACGAAGAGCCATTGGCCAATGAAATCACACTCTTTAGAGGGTCGTCCACTGTGCTGAGAGCCTTTCGCACCTGCCCGGCGCCAGCCTCGAAGACCTTGACCCTCTCTGGTCCTTGCCTTCTGGGCCTTGTCCGCTTTGGGATTTCTCTTTCACGTTCTTTTTTCTAAAACAAGCTTCGATGCGTCCGCCTTAGTTCCAGCCTGGCCTTCTCTCTCACGTCTCTCAGCCAACTAACGACACCCCCCATAGATAGATCAACCAACCAATGGCCACCTACAGATCTGGCCGCGACTCTGGTCTTTATCGCGCCAATGGTAAGGCTGCTTTACACATTGTCATTGCACATCCTCAGGCCCGTTTTTTCTTTGGTAGCTTTGTCGTCTGGTCTGTGTCCAGTCTTTTACTGTTGGCAATTCGCAATACTCTTATCAGTTGCCCCCCGGTTTGACGGGATTGATGGGCATCATTTAAAGTCGCTCCCAGCACAGCCTTGGCCGCCTATGGATTACGAGAACCGAGGGACACGAAAAGTACCGGAACAATCCCCCCAGGGTCATGACAGAGGGGATAGGGTAAAGACGTCACCGCATTTCTCTACCGCCTGCCCTATCATCTCCAGTGGCGACCACCCGACGGCCTCTGGCTTCCCTCTCTTTACACATTTCAGTTCGTGATTTCACTGTGGATGTCAAAGCTGCAGCGTCTCTTTCGTCTCTGTGCGCCCTGTCGCTCCCGGGTCGCCGCCTAATAATCCCTATAACCGATCCCATCTCGGCAGTAGTTGATTTAGGGGCACCTCCGGGCAAAGTGTCTGTTTACATTTGCGCTGTAGCAAATTTCAAGGAAGAGTCCATTTTGACCGAGGAACGAAGCAACATGGAACTGTCACAGGGTTAAGGTGACGAATAGAAGAGATCACGGAGCGACAAAAAAATTAAATTAAAATTAGAAATAAAAGAAAGTAGGAAGACGAAAAGAATTCCGGCAAAATGCAGGGTCCTCGTTCAGGCCCTCGACTCATCTTGCAGCGATGGAACAACTGGAGCTCTTCGTTCAATTTTGTTCCTGCGAATTTCTTTTTCAAGTTGAATTAGCAGCCTTCTCCCATCTTCTGTTACCGCTTTATTTCTTTGGGATAGTGTGCAGTCCGGCGATTCTCTCTCGATACGATTCAATTCTCAAAAACGAGGCAAACGACTTGTAGTGCACTGCACTAATAATAGAAAGAAGTGGGGTCACGTGCTGTTCCCCGTGGCGGCTCTTGTGTAAGAAATTTGATGCCTTTCTCTTCTTATTTTGTTCTCTCTCTGTCTCTCTTCTTATTCTTTTTATATTATTGCCTGTGCATGAGCCTCCACGGGTCTTATCAAGAGGAGGGGGCATGTCAAAAAGAGAAAAGAAAATATTGCACAAAGGCATCTCTAAAATAGGGTATGATTTCTGCAAATTAACGAGACTTCGTCTTGATGTCTTTGATTTTATTGCCATCAGAACAACGAGTGAAGAGCTCGGGTAATATTTCAAGGCATATTTTTATGAACTAAAAATTATCCTCAGTTCCGTCGTGTGTTCTTTTTACCTTTGCAATGACTGCAATGACGTTATCTACTTGGCACTCGGGAGCCAAAAAATCCGATCTGGAAACAGATTCCTACAGAACGTGCCACAGCTAAAGAACAGTCAGGGATACTTCCCACGTCCAGAAGCAAAGGGACGGCATTGCCTGCGAAGACTGTGTGAATACCGACTCAAAATAGGTGAATAGAATACAGTATTGCCTCGTCTCACACAGCATGGCCGGGCGAATGACTAACAGGAATATATTATCTCGACTGTGAGAGCGCTGAAGCGTTAAGCTTTACCGAGTCATGCTGTGGGAGTCCGTTTGTCTGTCGTAAAGGAGACGAAGGACGTCGAATCATGGCCAAAAATATCAAAATGTAACCCCGACGGGTTTCTGTGGACGATGTGAAGGAAGGAAAAGAACAAAATAATGGGGCGCGATGAAGAATCTGTGTGAACTGAACTTCCGGTGATCCTAACTGAGCATTCTATTTCGATTCCACGATATACAGGAGCACCGTCACAACAGTCCTCTTACGAGAAACTCGTACGTACACTTTTGGTTTTGACTATTTATCTTTACAGCTTTATAAGGCCCTGGATGGTCTCCCCTGACTACATGCCACAAGGAAAGTAGGCCACTTTTTGCAACGATCACACGCAGTGGCCTTCCCTCTCTTGTGAGATTCTTTTCTTTTTTGTCTTTTTTGATATACTAGGCCTTTTCGTCAAGTCCGTTCCACAATGGACATGAGATACTTGAACTGCTGCCTGCCTATGGTGGAACATCCATGATAGTGTGACCTTGTACCGAGAGGACCCTCATTGTTTTTGCTTTTTTTTTATCCAAAAAATCTTCACCACTGTCATGCGATCCCTGAATTCCATCGTCTCTTATCTATCGTATCCTTCTGCCCTCTCAGGGATGGGTTTGCTAAGATATCTATCTAAAAAGGGTTACGGAAAGACATGATGGGTCACCGGAGCGTCCGTGTTTTGAGTGAGGTTGATGCTGATCGCTGCCTTCCTTGGGCTATCTTATTGGGTTAATCATTTTCGTCGCCAACTCCGCGTCAAATTGTAATCAGAAGGGTGCTATCATCGTTGAGACTTCGACCCGCCTTTTAAGGGGTGAAGGTGAGAATTTAAGTGGGATACGATTTTATTTCTTTTTTCAGATCATCAACGCAGAGCCGTCACGAAGTGTCAAGCACCGGCGGTGTGTCTTCTACCAATGCCTTATCTCTTGGACTCACAGAATGATCTCATTCGATCATAAAACGTGTAAGCAATATGGCAATCGACAAGAAATATTGCTAAAATAAATCAAACCGAGATAAATACATCAGCTGATGGCTGCTGGCCAATGTGTAAACGGTAAACGAGACAAATAAGTCCATGACACAGGTTGGTCTTAAAATACAGAAACATCGATAGAGAAAGAAATGAAGAAGGAGGAAATAGCCCAATAACAAAGAAACGCAGTGTCATCATCATAGTAGCCAACCGCCGAGGCGGAGCTCCTCTGCAAACTCATATCATACAACTCTCCCTGATTCCATCCCACGACAATCTATCGTCGTATCGCCTGAACCGCTAGCGGTTATTGACAACCTTACAACGACCATCTCGCACGTCTCATTTCTCACTTCTTCCGCTTCCCATTCACGAGCCGGTCCGTCAACAGACCGGCCATTGCCGCTTCAACCACATGCCGCCGCCCATGCTTGCCGCTGGGATTGTTGCTCTCGACGGCAGTGTCAGCGACAGCCGCACCAATGGCTGCCGTGGCCACGCGGCCGCCCTTGGCTCCCGAGGCCCACTTGCCCGGTGTGTTGCGCAGCCGGAAGGCCTCGACGGCGCCGGCGGTGAGGGCGGATGTGACGACGTGTTTGAGTTCGCGGCCGACGGAAGGGCTACGGCGGGAGGAGGAGGAGGAGGAGGAGGGAGGAGGAGAGGGGGATGAAGCGGAGAATGAGCGGTGGGAGCGATGGGAGCTCTTGCTCCGCCGTGCCGGCTGGGAGCGGTAGCGATCAACGGTTGTAAAGTCGCGACGGTCGTGGCCGTAGTCGTTGCCGTAGTCGTCGCAGGCGTCGTAGCCATGGTGGTAGCCGTCGTGGTAGCCGTCGTCAAAACGGTCGTCATAACGGTCATCATAGCGGCCGCCGTAGCGACCATCATAACGATCATCGTAGCGACGTGCAGAGCGGCCACGGCGCTCTGCAGAGTAGTGTGACATGTTGTCGGTGGATGAGGGTTTATGCAGCTTGGTCGCTTTTCGGTGTATTTTGTTCTTGAAATTTGTAAGATGCAGTTCTTCTTTCTTGGTTCCCACCGCGCGGCTCATTCTTATGAGTCGGAAGGGGAGGAGGGAGTTGTAGGGTTCTTATCCCCCCTTCCTGCTCGAGTCGGTGGCGAGCACTTCCCAAAGGTCGGCAGGCTGCCAGCCAGGCAGCCTCACAGCGAGTTAGGAACTGTTTAGGACACTTCGGACACGTCTCCGACACCTCCGATTTGCAAAGCCTTCTCGGATGCGTCCCTTGTGACCCCGATTATATCGCCAAGAAGACATCAGAATGCGAGCAATACTCAACCTTGCAAGGCTCTACCCTGCAGCGACCATGTTGTGCAGAACCTTGATTTGTGTCTGGCTTGTCCAATTATGCCTAACAGAGACGTCGTTTGTGGGGATTTTCTTGTTTGTCACACACATTCAGAGCGCCGATCGCTGCACGGCTGTGACGTCGTGGTTCTCACCGGTGGCCAATTCTGGCCGAAAAACAGGTTCCACCAGCGCCGTTACTGCAACCCTGAAGGCAGCAGGAGGCGGAGGACAGAAACAACAACAACAACAATCGGACAGCCACGCAAGTCTTGTCTGGTAATTAATTTATGTCAACAAAATAGAGGGAGAGTACGTCGCAGAAGGAAATCAAATAGAGGGATTTGCAATGAAGGTAAATTGCTTACAAGGTCAAAGATCACGGGAAGAACAACCGACGCCTGCTTCAGTGCCAAGACCCTAGTCACTTACACGTAAAAAGGATCCACAAAGCTAATCAGTCACCAGACGAACAATATATGAGCAAACAAACGAGCAAACAAATGAACCAGCGAGGCTCGTTACCGACGGGCGAGGTTGGCAACGATTATTTCTCTCCGTGTTGCTGCTTGTGGCATCTTTAGTTCCGATTTTAGAACCATTTTATATTGAATTTTGCGGTCAAAAAATGATAAACAATTTACATATTTCCGTACTATTTAGCGAGTACAATGTCAGAGTATGTCTGTTTCTTTGGCACGGGTCTCGTCATTGCTATGACAGCTACCGTCTGCATTGCAGCAGCTGTGATGTTGTTGACGTATCGTAGATGTGAGATAACGTGAAAAGGCTCATTGCCCACGACTCACTGACATCGAGTTGCTTCAAAAGAAGACGGCGATCCAAAGGAGCATTAGGTTCCAGACCAACCAACGCAAAGCATCCTCAAGGACAGGCGCTAGTCAGGGCTAGTGCTTGGCAACCCACCGTCCACGCCACGAGCAAAGATGCGGAGACGGGAAGAGACGAAAGTTTGCGTGGGTCCCAGTTCCGGCCGAGATGCATCGCACGGCGCAGCAGCCAGTGCGCACAGTCACACTCAACCCCAACGGTGACGGCTTGCATACGATACTACTACTATTACGCAGTATGGCAAAGGGGAAGAAGAAGCAGGGGAGCGAAGGGCATCCTGCTGCTAAGAACGCGCCGACACACACGAACGTGGAAGGGCCTGCCATGGGACCCGCCGACTCAAAGGACAATCCGGGCCCGGAGGCGGAGGCCCAAGCGCCCAAGAGCGAGCTCCAGGACAAGGCGACCGACAAGATGACGACCTCGCCGCCGTCGTCGCCCTCGCGCTTTTCGCTGCGCATGTCGGCCATATGGTGGCGTTCGCTGCAGCATGTTGGCATGGCATTGCATTGTATGGCACCCCCCCGGCCGCCTTCACCCAACTTCACGCGGACCGTCACGTCGACGCTGTCCAGGCAGCACAAAGGCGGCACCTTCGCTCTGCAATTTTACACCCCAAAAGCATACGGTCAACGTGCAGAAAATGGCCAGAGCGCAGGGCCGTTTCCGACCGTTGTCAACTTTCACGGCGGCGGATTCGTGCTGGGCGGCGGAACCGACGACGCGCGTTTTGCGCGCCACGTGACGCAGACCGCCGGTGCCATCTTCGTGTCGGTAGAGTACCGCCTGGCGCCTGAGCACGCGTTCCCCACGGCGGTGGAGGATGGGGCGGATGCGTTGTTGTACCTGATCCTGAACGCGGCGTCCCTGCGAATCGACCTACAGCGGCTGGCCACGTCGGGCTTCTCGGCCGGGGGCAACATTTGCTTGACGTCGCTGCTCCGTCTGGGTGCGTACAAAGAGGAGGCGGTCGACGCAGCATCATCATCCCTGCTGCCGGCACACAATTTCGTGGCAACGGCCACGTGGTATCCGACGGTCGACTACAAGCTGAGCCGCGCCGAGCGCCGTGCCACCTGCACGCGGCCGGACCAGGCGCTGCCGTCGAATCTGACGGATCTCTTTGACGCATCCTACCTCTACCCACCAGACCTCGACCTCTCGGACCCGCACCTCTCGCCGTCCCAAGCGTCCGACGAGCGCCTGGCGCGCGACCTGCCACCCTGCATCCTGTTCTACACGTGCGAGTGGGACATGCTCTTCCGCGAAGGCGAGCATCTGGCCAGGCGCCTCGGCCGCGAGCCGATCGGCAAGGACGTGTACTACAAGATGATTCCAGCCGTGCCGCACGGCTGGGACAAGAGCCCGAATCCCCTGACGCCGGCAGAGGGGTCCGAAGAGTTGTACCTGGATTGTTGCGAGAGGCTCAAGGCCGTCTTTGCGGAGAATGCAACCCTGGCGCAATAGTCATTTGATACTAGTCATTGCATAAACTTGACGTTTTTTTTTGTGTATATGGAAGTGGCATTTCGGTTTGGTATTTAAATTAAAGGCAAGTGCAAATACCACTACCCCGTCCGTCTCGTAGAAGAAGAACATAATTCCCTGGGGCCAATAACACCAGGGCGATCCAAAAGTAGTAAAAAAGATGTCCAGCGCAGGAAGAAAAGAAAAAAAAAAAAAAAAAAAAAAAAAAACAACAACAACAACAAAACAACAAAAGAACGCTGTAGCTAAATGTATATCAATGAACGGAAATCAAGAAAAGCCGATATTGGGCATTCAGTGTGGTAGGTCACCCGAGTCCTCGTCCACCAACGGCACGCGTTTATCATGGCAGCTCCTGCCGTGGATACTCACCTTGCACCTCGTACACCGGCGACGGGTGCATCACCCCGCTCTTCATCGATAGCGGCGTGGATGAGGCATAGTACGAACCGTCATGCATTGGGCCTGGCGACATGCCCGGCGACATGCCCGGCACCATGCCTGGCGCCATGTCCGGCGCCATGCCCGTATTCCCAGACACGTTGGGCGGCGGTGCGTACTGCGCAATGGCTGCCTTCTGCTTCCGCTGCTTCAGGAGCAGGAAGATGAACGCGCCCAGCAACGCCAGGCCGACCACGGAGGCACCGACGGCAATACCGGCGATCGCGCCAGACGACAGACCATTGGAGCTCTTGGCGCTTGATTTGTCTGATGCGCTGGATGCGCCCGAGGACGGGCCGGTGCTGTCGGCGGTGTTGGTAGGGGACGAGGTGCCCTTGGAGCTGGAGCTGGAGCTGGGCAGATCGCTGGCCTTGTGTACGAGCTGGAACATGGGCGCGTACAGCGTAACGGTGTTGAAGTTGAAGAGGTCCACCTCCGTCGCGGTCACGGTGCTGGCAGGCGCAGTGGCAGAGCCGGAGCCGGACACGGTGCTGACTTGTGTCGTGGTCACTGTGGCGACGTTGCCCAGCGTGTAGTAGCTGAATGCATTGCTGGTGCCGCCAGAGCACTGCACAGCCGGAAAGGAGCCGGTTGTCGCGATGCTGTAGCAGGTCTGGGCAGCTCCGTTGCCGCCGTAAGTACAAGCGTAGTCTCTGCAGAGCGTGTGTTAGCTATTTGTCGTAGTCGGAGACAGTGAGAGAGACAGCTGGCCACAAAACGAGGAAGAGCGAAGGAGATTACGTACGGAGGACAACAGCCAATACCCGTCTCGCCGGCCGAGACGGGGAATTGAAACTGGAAGCCGCCAATCGTCGTGCCCGTGGCCGAGCACGCCGTGTTGTAGCCAACGGGACAGCTCAGGCCCGGGGAGTAGATGCCCCAGCCCAAGAGGGCAGCGTCGGTGGTGATGGTGTTGGCTTTTGTTCGTGGTGGCCAGCAGTTTGCATTGTCCTGGACGCCGGCCGCATTATTGGGGTTGTTGCTGCATGTTTGCGCCTGCCAGGCGACGAGGCAGTACGAGCACTGGATGACGTTGTTTGTGCAGCTGGCTGGATAGGTAAACGGCGTGGTCAGAGGACCGAGGTTCGTTCGTGCCGTCGCCATCGCGAGAGACGATCAGCTTGTTTTCGTGTCGGCGGAGGCGGTCGAAAGAGAGGCGAGATGATGGACGACGGGGTTGTAGGTGACAACCCGTTGGAAGGACTCAGGACCTTTGGGAGATTCCGGTGGAGCGATGGAAGACGGCGAGAATTCAACGAAGAGACAAATAAAAAATCGACAAATGTCGACAAAGAAGTGATCAGCAAAACGAAACGACTTGTATTGTCGATAGGGAACACAACACAATGCCACGCGTCGACTCGAAATATGGTCCGGGGTATCGATGAAGAGGAGAGAGAGAAAATGGAATAGAATAAGGAGATGTGACGACGGGAGGGAGAGAAGAGGCACGGGACAGGAGGTCAGACACGAGGAGTACGAAGGACTTCTCACCACAGAACGACCAGTGGTGCGACACTCCGTACTTTGCAGAGGGTACTTGTAAATCGGGAACAATGCGGAGAAAAAGAAACCAAAAAGGAGAGAAAAAAAAAAAACAAGCACAAGAAGAACAACAAGCACAACACTGAGGCCACGGGGAAAGGAAAGGAAGAGCAGAATGACCAGATTAAACCCGTTTGCAAGGGCTTGCACAGGCTGGCTTGGTAACAAAGAATTTCATTTCCACCGGAGTATGTCGCACTCCGCAGTCCGCGGAGGCTCCTATGTCTCGTGTTTGTAACCCTCGAAATCCTTCAACCCACAGACCAAGTCCATCGCGTCGCCATGGCGTGGCTCTGTTGCCGATGTGGCGTCCAACAGAGTCGTAGATGATTGGTCTCGGCCCTGCTGGAGCTTGGCCCCTTTCTTCCCCCCGGGAGACCAAATGCAACCACAATTTGAAAAAACAGGATACGAAGCAGAACGACGCCGAAACACACGCAAGAGCCACACGCAGTGCACCATTAGGAGATGAAAATGCTAGTGGAAGATTACCATCAGAACTCTTTCGAAAATACAGTGGGCCAGCGATTGAGCTGAAATATGCTAGCCATTGGTGCTGCTGCTCAGTACGGAGTTTTGAAAGCTTTCCTTTGCCCCGGTTTGAACGACTTGACAGTCCCAATTTTGGTTGAAGCTGAGGCTGTGTGCCGCTGGAGCCCTTGGGAAAAGGAGGCGCAGGGGTGGTTTTCTTGATGAACCGCTGCTATCAATCTCTCGCGAGCTTTTGTTGACACCCCAACATCCTTGAGGCTGAGCGGCACGGTTTGCAAAGGGACTAACCGTTACAAGCGTCTTCTTTAGCCGCCGAGGAGGCTTGTGCCAAAGTGCCTTGGGCCAATAAGATGGGGCATCGGTCCATCCTTGCGGCCTTGTGGACCCATACCAATCTGCATCGTGTATCCGCTGCCTGCCCCCAAATTGTCGGTGCATGCTCCTGAACATTAATAAAAGAAGAAAATAAGCCTCCTTTGACGATAGCCGAGTAACATGGGTGCGCCTATGGTCACAAACTGAACAGACCACATGCTTGGGACCGGATAGTTTGAATTGTTCTTCCCAGCTGGCCTGGGCTGCGGCCTGCCAAGTCAGGAGTCGTCTTGCTCTCCGGCGGCAAACTGCTTCGGCTGACCATTTGAGCGACAGTTTTCTGAAAAGGACGACGTAGCCGCGTCTGTCGTCTGTCGTCTATCGTCTGCCGCCAGTCATCTCTTCTGGGCCTTCCAAAAACCGTCCCTGTCACCGAGCAAGCGGTTCGCTTGTACGTGGTATCGCCACATCGAACCAACACTCCAGGCACGTCTGGCCGCAGGTATGGTCTGGCCCGATCGGGTCCTGCAAGGTGATCCTTGGGAAGTCGAAAAGAGTGCTCGGTGTCCAATGGCCCAGGTCCGCCATTCTCATAACTCCCAATTCTGTCCACCTCCTTTCTTCCCTTTTTTCTTCTCCTTCCATTTTCGACCTTTTGCCTCGTCCTTTGTTCCTCCGTTTTTCTCGTCTCCTCAGAAGTCGAGCGTCGTGCGTCGTGGCTCGCTTCCTTTTGCTGTTTTTTGTCTAGTAGACTCGTCCGGCTCGTCTCGCAGCCGCCGCTCGCTCTGGCTCTCTCCAGTCATATCAGCAAGCTAAGCGCGACAGAGATGAGTACCACCAGGACCCAGTTTAAGAAAATACCAGGGCGACTGGCTGATGCTATCGTACCTCGCTCTTTTGCAGTGCCTGTTCCGTTGGAGGATGCTGCCAGGCAAGAAACGTGCGTGTTGGCCGAGAAAACGCCACCGCCAGGCGAGAATTGGATCCACGTCAGGAGAACAGGCCAGACGTGGCCCAGAGCCGATTCCAACGCGTCCGTGTCGCCAGTCGACGTCGGCGGGCTGCCCCAGGCGTAGAATCGGCCGTCGGCCAGGGTCTTTTCGTCGAGGACTGCGACACGATTTGGTTAGTAGGGGTTTGCTAGTCGAGGCAAAGCGCTATCGATGTCCGATGTTCGAATGAAACACTGCTCACCGACGACGGTTCCATTGCCACCGTTGCGCATAAAGTACGGTGCACAACGCTCGGGAATGGTCATGTTGAAGCAGTCGCCCGCCGCGTTCATGCCGTGCGCCAATGCGGCCTCGTTCACTGCCGCGGCACATTCGTCCGTCAACCAGGCGCCGCAATTCCCGTTGTTCTGGCCGTCTCCGTCGCCACCCTCGACGACGGCAGACATGTTGACGTACGGGAAGACTGTGGCGCACAGTTTCCATGCCGTCGCGTTGAGGTACTCGACACCGGCTGGCGCCTGGAGCCACAGCGTCGTCGCGTCGATCACCTGTGCCCTGTCGACGCCCGGATCTTCGGCGTCTCTCAGAGGCACATTGTCCGCGACGGCCACGCCCAGCTGCCAGCCATCCACGGCCGATCCGTTACCACTCGGACCAAAGCCCTCGGGTGCCGACAGATTGTATCCGGGCACCCACACGGCCGACTGGCGAACCGTGCGCATGATGGAGGTGTTGAAGAGGCCCGGAGGGATGCCATACGGCGCAGCTAGCGTCAGATCGCCCGCAACCGCCGACTGCGCGTGCGCCCAGTCGACAAAAGACGCTGACAACGTTAGGAGCCCGAGAGGAGCTGTTCGTAGAAACGTCGAGAGAGACATCGTGAATGTACTTGTGTAGGGTGGTTGTCGCGAGAATTGCAAAGGATGCCAGGCACGAGCCGGGTTTGTAAAGCTTGTTTCCTACCGACAGCAACGACAACTTGGTATATGTACGTCGATGTCAAGGCGCGCAAACAGATAGCTCTTGTGCGTGACATCACAACACACTCGTTTTGGCTGGCACGCGTCACACGATGAGGCCTTCGTATCCCATGATGACGTGGACTGACAGGTAAGGAAGGAGCGTTCGAGACAGGCTGCTCGCGCTCTTGTCCAAGACATCGCGGTTGCCACAACGGTCCAACTGCCACTGTTCTCGTACACTGTGTAGCCCCAACTGATGAGGCCAAATCGGGAAAGAACAACTCGCGCAGCTTCCACAAGAACGCCCACGAAAAGCTACAACTCGAACAAGCAAGTACTCCTGCTCCTGCCGGTCTGCAATTGCCGAAGAGCACCTGGCTTATTGGGCCAAACCAGCATTTTTAGCAAACAAAACAGACTCACCGTGATGAGGAAGGTCCGACCAGCTGCTATTGCCAACATCGGCTACCATCACGAGCATAGCTCGCGCTCACACACGTAGTCATATATGACCGCAAATCACTGTTCTGTGACAAGCAGAATGCTCACTGCATACTGCCGCGATAAAATTCCCCAACTATTCACGTTCTATCACTTGGAGGCGAGATGGGAGCCAATGACAGAGTACGGCGTCGTGACTTGCATTTTGCCACGCCGGACCCACATACATAACATGGGAAAGCGCAATCGGCAATCGGACACAAAACGTACCTAAAAGGCCCGTCATTGCACCGGCTCCGATTGTCAACAACGCCTGAATAAGTGCACGGTGGCCCTTTCCCAATTGCCGGACAAATCCAAGTGAAGTTTCATCGCACTTTCCTATTGTAAATTCGACGCTGACGCCAGCATAAGTACGACGCAATTAACTGTGATAGCAACCGGACAGTCAACGGTGGTCGTCAATGGCAGAAAGAGCCAACAACACCTAAATATCACACCACCTATAAGTTGAGAGAGAACAAAGGGAAACGTCCCATGACCCAATCACTGCTATCTCTCTGGTTTTCTCCTGATATAAAAAGGGAGGACGCACCAACAACAATCAAATCGTACCGTCCTCTGGACAGTCGTCTTTCGATATCTCGATCTGTAACGACAGCAACCTCTCCACGATGACTGCCGAAGGCTCGATTCTCGTTACGGGGACCAATGGTACCCTGGGTGCCAAGATCGTTGCTACGATCGTCGGCAACACCGCCAACGCCGCCAAGTATCACGGCCTCTATACTGTGCGCAACGTCGACGGTGCCTCAAACCTCAAGTCTGTGCTCGCCAAGTCGCCCAAGGTGCACAAGCATGACGTCCTGGCTCTCGACCTTGACCGGCTGCAGTCGGTGCGCGATGTGGCCAACGACATCAAGACGCGCGTGGCCACTGGCAAACTGCCTCCCATCCGCGCGCTGATCTGGAACGCGGGCTTCCAGGAGCAGTCCACCCAGACGTTCACAGAGGACGGCTTCGACACTACGTTCCAAGCCAACTATCTGTCACACTGGCTGTTGACCGTGCTGCTTCTCGGCAGTATGGACAAGGACCACGGCCGCGTCGTCGTCGTGGGCAGCTGGTCTCACGAGTATGACGTACCCTACGCCTGGTATCTTTGTCCTGCCATGGTTCCATGTACTGACTTGCTGACTGGCTGGCTGCATTTTAGTACTGCCGACAAAAACAATGAGTTCGGCGGCCAGACCTACTATTCCGACGAAAAGTGGAAGACATTGTTCACGGACACAAAGTCGCTTGCGTATGGCACTTTCAGTCCGCCCGACGGCGACCCAACTGGCGATGCAGGTATACGGCGCTACGGTGCCGCCAAATTGTGCGAGGTGATGATGATGTACGTGCCATGCTCAAGTCCGACAGCCACAGATGCCCTGGTAACAAATGAAAAAAAGAGACACTGACAGAACGCAGTCGTGAAATGCAGGAACGATTCGACAAGGACCCGGTCCTGTCCAACCTGTCCATACTTGGTGTCGACCCAGGTGGAATGCCCACGACTCTCCTCCGTCGTGGCAACTTTTGGTTCGCCCAGCCGCTCGCTGCCAAATTTATCACGACCCCATTGAGTTACGCCTGGTCCATGATAGAGTCGAACTCGGTGATGCGCCCTGCCTCCAAGTCTGCGCGGGATGTCTTGCGGGCTGCCCTTGAGTCGACCCCGCCTCCGATGAGCGAACACCCCAAGGGCCTGTACTTCAACGGCAATGCACCGATTCTGCAGGGCGCCGAGGCCCGTGATCCGGCCAAAACGGGCGCCCTGTGGCGTGACAGTGTCAAATTTACTGGCATTGACGAGCACGACATGGTTCTCAAGGCATGGAACTAAACATCCAGAGATTGCTTTGTTGTTCCCGGTGGCTATGTGCGTGAGCGCAACAGATGGAGAGATGCCATCGTTTGTTCATTGGTTTCATTTTGATACTGCTTTCTCCGTTTTATTTTGGTATCTCGTTTCAAACTGTAATATGGACCGCTGTTCACTTTTGGACAAAGGAAATTCGAAGAATGTCTATTTTCAGACGCGTACAACGCCTCGACCGTCTTATTCTGCGTCCTCGTCTGGTAACTGCACAGGAGCCGGTTCCTTCTTCAGCGGCTTCTCGCCAAGGACAAGCGAGGCAATGAAGGCAAACGACGAGAAAGCAAGGGAGACAACTGGTGGTGCCGGTTAGTTTATTGTCTGGCCTAGGCTTGGAACAAAATTTGTTCGAGAAACACTTACTATGACTCCACCACAGACTATCGACGTACGCGTCAATGACGGCCCCCTTCACTGCGCCGGTCAGAGTTGCAATGTACTCGATGTTCGAAATGGAGCTCTTGTAGATCTCTGCCCGCACTGCGGGATCCAGGTTCAGCTCGAGGAGCTTTCTAGACAGCGCCGGCTTCAAGGTGACACCCATGATGCTGCTGGCACATGCAAGGCCCAGGATCATGGCGCAGGTGCTTGACAGGTACAATATCGAAATGGCCGGTGCCATGTGGCCCGGCTCGACGACGGCCTGGAGGGAGATGAAGACGGCGCTCTGGATAATGCCGGCACCAAAACCGCTGCAGACGTGTCAGTTTGTTATTGCTTGCCTGGAAAAATAAAATCAACTCTGGCGCCCGGTCGAACGTACCTTGGAATGATGTACAGCGACTCGAGCCAGTTTGTGTGACCGTTCCAGCGGAACAGCAGTGACGTATACGACAGGCTGGCCGACAGGGCCGCCAGCCGAATCATGTTGCGGTACCGGCCGGTCTTCTTGATATACAGGCCCGAGACGATACCTCCAATGGCGTTCCCGGCCACGGCCGGGAACAGATGGGCACCGGCCTCGGTGTTGGACACTTGCGCCGACGCCTTGAAGTACAGCGGCACGGTGAACATGAGGCCGAGCTGGGCCGAGAGCTGGGCCATTTGGATGAAGATGGACAGGTTGGCATCGCGGATGTGGAAGATGCCGAGCGGGACAACGGGGTCGACGGCGCGCTGTTCGGTGCGGATAAAGAAGACAAACAGGACGACGGACGCGGCGAACAGCGAGGGGACGATGGGCGAGGTCCAGGCGACCTTGGAGCCGCCAATCTCCATGGGCAAGAGGAAGGCCAGAAGCGTGAGGGCCAGCAGCAAGGAGCCCAAGAAGTCGACACGCTTGAGCCTGTCCCGGTTGGAGACACTGTTGTCGGTGGCGACGTGCTTGCCGCCCTTCAAGTTGCGGGAGTTTGACGGCAGGTAGATTTGGCAGAGGACGGTGGCGATCAGCATGAACGGCACCTGGCCAATAAAGGACCTGGAAAAAAGACAAAGTTAAGTACAGTTGCACACGATACGACGATGGCGAGAGTACCAAAAAGTACAGAGGCTCAGCTTACCATCTCCAGCCGATGACGTCCGCGAGCCAGCCACCGACGGGGCCACCTAGACTGCGGCCGGTCGTCGCAGCGACGTTGATGTATGCTCTCCAAGTGGCAACTTCACGGATGGGAAGAAGGTCTGTTTGCATGTTAGATTTGACGCGACCGAGAGCATCCGGGGAGGGGATGGGGGGAGAACGCTTTGTTTAATTTCTTCTTCGCTAATACGTACCAGAGATCAAAATAGAAACGAGAGCCGTCATGCCGGCACCGCCGATACCCGAGATGACACGGCCCAGGATGACCTGGAACATGGACTGGCCGATACCACTGGTTGCAGAGTTAGAGACACCATACACGGGCTTGACTCTTTCCGGGCCACAACTTACACCAAGCCACTATTCGACCACGTTAGCCTTCTGTCTATGTTCACAGCAATGGACATTTTGATCCAGAAGAGGGGCTGCTTTGCTTACCAGCCAAGGCCGAAGATGATATACGAGGCCAAAATCAGGTTCTTGCGGCCATAAATGTCGCTCAGCTTGCCGTACATGGTCTGTGTCGCGGCCGATGCCAGGATAAATCCGCCAAACAGCCAACTCGAGCTTTCGAGGTCGTTGAACTCGGAGGCGATGACGGGGTGCGTGGCCAGCATCAGCGAGCCGTCGGCGTTGGACACGACGACGCCGATCATGAGGACGAGCACGACGCGCAGAATTGTGGCCGCGCTGGACGCGGTGCCTTTGGGCGGGCCCGTGTTCTGGACAGACGAGGCCTCGGCCTCAATGTCCCGCAGCAGAGACGAGTCGGTCGACATGGACTCGGTGAAGCTGGGCGCGCGGTAGCTGCCGGCGTGGGTGGGACTGTGGCCCTCATCGCTCTCGCCGCCGCTGCCGGACTCGACGACGCGCACGACGGCGCCGCCCTTTTTGGCGACGGAGGATGAGTTGGCGAGCTGTGGAAAATTGAGAAGCGGCGACCGCTCGTCGGGCTCGACCAGCCCTGTCTGGATGGGCCGCGGCATGGTGTGTTGCCGTGCTGCTATGGTTGTCGCCAAATGTGTGGTTCAAACCAAGCGATGCCGTCTTTCGTTGGTGTTTGCTAACAGCACCGGTATAAGGATGATGGACAAAGGGTGAATGAACACGGTCGAAACAGGTAAGTGAAGGTGAGGCGAGCAGCAACAGAGCCACAACAGATACTAACGAACAGAAGAAAGATATAGCAAACACGAGATAAAGACGGAGGGTTCGAGATATGGGAACAGAGCGAATCCGAACCATGAAGCAAATCCAAGAAGCAAATCCCAACAGATAACGCAGTGCGACGAAAAATGAACCGAGCAGGGATTGGCCGGAATGGGAACTTCGGAGACTGCGCTTATCCAAGTTCCGACAACGGCAATAAAAAGGCTCTGGCGATGATCGAACGTCGACAAGGCGAGAAGAATGGGAGAGAATCTATCCCGTCCGCTCCTCGCACGAGTCAACATTCCTTTGCCATACGCGGATTCCCAGGATGCACTCCTACGCGAGCACACAATCGCACATGCACACCATGTTCCAGGAACAACGAAGCTACAGGTCGCGGCCGCATATGCGCTTAGCGGGCGAGTGGAGACCGACTAACATGACATGACCGATGATATTAAACTACGAAGCCAGACAAGGCGCGAGAGCGGGCGGGAATAACACAGCAGCGTAGACGGCAACCAACGCGGACCTGCCGACCACAACCGGGAGCAAACATACAAGGGGAACAAGAAGAAAAAACTGCAGTGATCTCATGCCGAGTCATTGCTCGTCGATGACGGTGAGACATGAAGCTGGCGGATGGGACCAAGCTGCCGGCGAGCTATGCGAGGAACAGTCCCTGGAGTTGCTCGTTTCTTTGATGGACGGCGTCTTCCCTTTCAAGTCAAGCCGTGTCCTGTTTTGTGTTTGGTCGAACCTCTCATGTTCGTCGTCTGTCCTAACATTTCCCTTAGGACCTTTTGGCTTTTCTTCGACGCAGTACGACATACGACGGACGACATACACAGCAGCGTGCCAAACATCATTGTTGGTTCCACAGCACAAGACGAAAACGTTCACAACCCGCAGAATGGCGACATTGACCCCAAATACCAGGGCTGCAGAAAAAGAGGCTTTTTAGCGGGCTGGCGCTCCTCTTGCAAGACTCTTTCGTTGGAGAACGAACACGACTAACACCGCGCGGCTGCCCCCACTCAACTGTGGGTCGCTGCTGGCCGCACATTAGTGAAGCTTCCGTGATGGACGGAGCGCAGCACGCCATCGGAACAGCCAGCGCTCGTTACCATTCTCTGCACTGATGGCAGGGCGTCGGTGGAGGTGTGGCATGTGTCATGCAGGGCCATGACCAGCGACAGCGATGAGACGCGATGACATGACCAAAAAACCAAAACGACGGCATGTCGGCGACCGGGCATTGAAAGTCACCGCAGACTGGCAGGGTCCGGACAAGCTCCAAGACGACAGAGCTTTGGCTTGGCCCTCGCTTCGATTTCACAGTGCTGCGGTCGAAGCTGCCATTGAGTGACGACAGCAGGCTGGCCAGCTACGATGACGGCGGTGTCTCGACTGTGGAGGCCGGTATAAGACGTTTGGACGCACCAGTTGCGAGGCCGCACTTTTTTGTATTTATTTTGTCTCGTCTTTTGTATCTCGTTCTTTTCTTTATGTTTCTTGTCTTGTCTCTTTTGTTGATTTAGGTCATTCACAAGCTACCTCTGCACTGACCATCACCAGCTTTCCCGCTTCACCCACACTCCATCATGCAGCTCACGCTCGCTGCCTTCCTGGCTGCGGCCACATCGGTGGCGGCCTCGGGCGCTGCTGGGGATGGCCGTGCCGGCCGCCTCATCCAGGACGACGCCGCGCATGGCCAGGCCCGGCTTGGCCGCCTGGGCCCGGACGTGCTCGAGGAGGTTGCCGAGCACCACCACAAGCACGGCAGCGGCACGCGGCCCAACTTTGTGTTCATCATCACCGACGACCAGGACCTGCACATGAACTCGCTCGACTACCTGCCGTACGTCAAGAAGCACCTGCGCGACCAGGGCACGACCTTCCGGCGCCACTTCTGCACGACGGCCGTGTGCTGCCCCTCGCGCGTGTCGCTCTGGACGGGCAAGCAGGCCCACAACACCAACGTCACGGACGTCAACCCGCCGCACGGCGGCTACCCCAAGTTCCTGAGCCAGGGCCTCAACGACAACTACCTGCCCGTGTGGCTGCAGGCCGCCGGCTACGACACGTACTACACGGGCAAGCTGTTCAACGCGCACACCGTCGAGAACTACAACTCGCCCAAGGCCAACGGCTGGACGCAGAACGACTTTTTGCTCGACCCCTTCACCTACCAGTACCTCAACGCCAGCTACCAGCGCAACGACGAGCCGCCGCGCAGCTACGAGGGGCAGTACACCGTGGACGTGCTGGCCGACAAGGCCTACGGCTTTCTCGAGGCCGCCGCGGCGAACCGCAAGGCGGACGGCACGCCGTTCTTCCTGGGCATCGCGCCGGTGGCGCCGCACAGCAACGTCGAGATTGGCACGGCCCTGGGCGACATTGACGACATCCTCGACGCCAAGTTCTCGGCGCCCGTGTCGGCCAAGCGCCACGAGCACCTGTTTGCGGATCTCACGGTGCCGCGCACGCCGCACTTCAACCCCGAGGCGGCCTCGGGCGTCAGCTGGGTGAGCCGCCTGGACCGCCAGACGCAGGCAAACGTCGACGCCAACGACCACTTCTACCGACAGCGCCTGCGCGCGCTGCAGTCGGTCGACGAGCTCGTGGACGGCGTGTTTGCGCGCCTCGACCGCCTAGGCCTGGCCGACAACACGTACGTGTTTTACACCACGGACAACGGCTTCCACATTGGCCAGCACCGGCTGCAGCCCGGCAAGGAGTGCGGCTTCGAGGAGGACATCAACATCCCGCTGATTGTGCGCGGGCCCGGCATCCCCGGCGGCCGCGTGTCGCAGGCCGTGACCACGCACGTCGACCTGGCGCCGACGCTGCTCAAGCTGGCCCGCGCGCCCGCGCGCGTCGACTTTGACGGCGAGCCCATCCCGCTGACGGCGCACGAGCTCGACGTGGCCGCCGTCGACAACGGCGCGGGCCGCCACGAGCACGTGACGGTCGAGTTCTGGGGGTTCGCCGCGGCCGAGGGCGACTTTGGCTTCAACGGCGGGTCGCGCATCGTCACCAACAACACCTACAAGGCCGTGCGCATCATCGGCCGCGCCTACAACCTCTACTACTCCGTCTACTGCTCCAACGAGCACGAGCTCTACAACCTCGACACCGACCCCTACCAGCTGCACAACCTGCTCGGCCACGTCGCCGGCCACAGCGGCGGCCATGCGCCGCCCACGCACCTGCTCGACGTGCCCCTCGCCAAGGTCGTCGCCCGCCTCGACAGCCTGCTGCTTGTGCTCAAGTCGTGCAAGGGCCGCGCCTGCGTGCGCCCCTGGGCCGAGCTGCACCCGGACGGCGACGTGCGCAACCTGCGCGAGGCGCTGGCGCCCGAGTTTGACGCCTTTTACGAGGTCGAGCAGAAGCGCGTGTCGTACGCGAGCTGCGAGGCCGGCTACTTTGTCGATGCCGAGGGCCCGCAGTTTGAGACGGACGGCATCGCCTACCGCCACGGCGCCAAGTGGCACGAGTGGGTGTAGGTGCAACTCGGTCGGGAGAATTGGACAATCCCCCTCCCTCTACAGGGGTGGGCAAATTACCGTTGCACCTTGACTGCCGTGCTTGGCGGACGGCAGGGGAAATGAAAGAAGAAAATAAGGAAAAATATGCATTGCAGCCAGGGGAAAAAAGAGCCGGAGACGTTGAAGCGATGCAAAGGGCCTAGATCTCGGTCCACCCTTGCTGCCCACATGCTTTACTTTTAACCTGTACAAAAGAATTCAACTACAAACTGCTAATTGTCTTGCCAAAGACACGTCGTAGCATGCCAGACAGAATAGCCAGAAAGCCCCGTCCTGCTGGCCAAGGTGCTGGGCAAAGGTGGAAGACGATGGAAAGAGGAGACGGCTAATTGGGCGCAAGTGTAAGTGAGAATAGAGCGGCCAAGTCCCCCTGTCTGCTTTGATAAAAGGACGTCAATGTGCTTTATGTGGTCACGATGGATGAGAGCAAAACAGACTTCGTTTGGTCTTCTTTTTTCTTTTTTTTTACTTTCTCCGTCCACTTCGTCGACAAACATGGCACCCACGGTACAGTTGCTTGCCTCTCTTCTGCTGGCACTGCCCTTGGCGGCGGCTGTCCCCGCATCGCCGCCAACGTCACCGCCATCGCCATCGCCATCGTCGTCATCATCTACGCCCAATGGGGTCGTCAGCATTCCCCTCCGCAGAGTCGTCGGTCCTCGACCCGACGCCGTCGTTGGCGCTCGCCGTGCGGCCATGATGGCCCGGCCTTGGACGACGGCGGAAAAGGCTGCACAGAAGCACGAGGCCGCGCCCTCGCCGCCGCGCCAGGCCCTCGTCGACCGCAACGAGTACTACCTGGCCGACCTGGCCATCGGCACGCCGCCCCAGCCCGTCTCTCTGCTCGTCGACACCGGCGGCTGGGTCACGTGGGTCAATCCGGACTGCGCGCGCGCCGTCCGCGAGGCCGAGTGCAGCGCCCTGCCGGCCTACAACCTGTCTCTGTCGAGCCCGCCGCCGACCGCCGTGCACGACCTCGACCAGATTGTCTACTACGGCGACGTGAGCATGGGCGCCGCGCTCGAGGGCTACGCGGACGTCTTTACCTGGGGCAATGCGACGCACGTCCGGCAGCCCTTTGGCGTCGCCAACGAGACGGTCGGCGTGACCACGGGCATCCTGGCGCTGGCGCCCGACGCGTCCGCGGGCTTCAACTCGGCCGTCAGCAACTTTAGCGTCGTGGCGACGCTGGCGCAGGAGGGCGTGATTGCGTCGCGCGTCTTCAGCCTGGCCTTTGGGCGCGGGCTCGTGGCCGTCGCGCAGCACGTCGGGCACTTGGTGTTTGGCGGCGTCGACCGCAACCAGTTTCGGGGTACCCTGGTCCGCACGCCCATTCTGCCGCGGGACGACAGCGTCGACGGGTGGCGGTACTGGCTGGCCGTGACGGAGGTGCGGCACAACAAGCCGGGTGGACGCAACGCGACGGCCAAGTGGACTGCGCCGGCCGCACAGCGCACGACGACAGCGACGACAACAACCACCACCACGACCGTCATACCGTCTGGCAATGCCTCGTACATGGTTGACAGCGGCACGACGGGCATCTACGTGCCGCGCGCCGCCTACGACGCCATCATGCTCGACGCCAACCTGACGCGCAATCCGCTGCGCTTCGAAGGCTTCCCAGACGTCGACTGCAAGATGGCCGACCTGCCCGGATCGTTGTCGTTTACCTTTGCGCCGGTGGCCAGCTCCAACAAGTCCGCCGCCGCCAACGACGCCAACGCCGCCAACGCCGCCAACGCCGCCAACGCCTCCACCCCGGTCGCACCGGTGACCATCGACGTGCCCTACTCGGTGCTCATCCACCCGGAGCGCAACCTCATCACCAACGACACGAGCATGTGCTTCTTTGGCCTCAGCTCCGGCGGCCCCGCTGACGACGACGGCGACATCTTCCCGATCCTCGGCGTCGAGTTCTTCAAGGCCGCCTATGCCGTCTTCGACTGGGACAACCAAGAAGTCTCGCTCGCCCAGGGCGCCAGCTGTGGCAGCGAGCCGGACTTGGTGCCGGTCAGCAAAGGGCCCAACGCCGTGCCGAGCGTCACAGGAAACTGCAAGTAGGGGAGGGGGGACAGGGAGCACAAAATTGTATTCAGAAAATGGCGCGACGGTAGGAGTGTTTTTTCAGGTTGACATAGGAAACTCTGATATCCTAGGAAGAAAAAAAAAAAGAGAAGGAAAAAGAAAGTGAATGCCATGCAAGTGCCTCCTTTCCGATAGTCATCTTGCACATCATTCAAGACTCAAAAACAAGTCTCGTAGCTTGGGGAAGATGGGCGTCCCCAGACCGGAGACAGGGTCCCAGCCGGCTGTCGCGACAAACCCGGTCGTGCCACAGCCCGGGTTGCTGCCCTCCACAACGTCCGTAAACACCTCCGGGTGCTTGTACAGCACTGGCTGCACGTGGCCCACGGCCGTCTTGTTGGCCCGCAGCCGCGCCTCGTTGACCTGCGTCAGCACCGCTGCCCAGACCGGCGCCGCCACCGACGTGCCGCCCCCTTTGGCCAGGCCGCCCCGGTAGACCATGTAAAAGTTGCTGCCCAGGGCCGACACGTCCGGGTACGCCCGCCCGCTCTTGTTGAAGTTGGTGCCGCTGTTCTCCTGGACGGTGTCGCCGCTGTAGCCGCCAAAGCCCAGCTTGGCCCGGCCCAGGTACGTCGCCACGGCCGACTGCTGCCAGTCCGGTGTTGGGTAGACGTTGGAGAACCCGCCGCCTGTATAAAAGTCCGTGGGCCCAACCTCGACAAAGGTGCCTTTCGACGCGGCGGTGGCGGCGGCGGCCTGCAGCTTGGTCGCGCCCACAGACAGTGCATACGGACAGCTGGCCAGTGAGACCGGCGAGAAGATGTCGTGCTGGGAGCCCAGGCAGCCCTTGTGCGCGTCGCCGCCGTTCGCCGCATGGCCGCCCACGCCATTGTCGCCCGCCGCCACGACCACCGTGACGCCCTGCAGGCCCAGCTTCATCAGCTCGAGGCACTGCCGTCGCAGGTAGTTGGCCGGCAGGCTGTTCTCGGCGTTTTCGTACGAAATGCTAATCACATTGGTGGGCTTGAACGTGCCGCACATGAGCTGGCCCTGGTAGGCTTGGCCGCCACCGTTGTTGTTGTTGGGATTCGGGTAGACCGGGTCGACGCAGGCCGCATCCTGGCAGTTGCCTGTCTGGCCATATGCACTGAATGTGCAGTAGCTGCCATCAATGGCATCAAAGAAGGCTGTGACCGGGCGTGAATACATGGTCATATCAGCATGACGCCACTGCTAGAACAATACTGGAACAGACGAGGGGCTTCGAACTCACTGTTGAATATGCCCTTCACCCTGCCCGAGCCGCTGGTCATGGCATTCTCGTAGTATTCGTCGTCCACCTGGAAGAGCACCGTCTTTTGCGGCCACACCAGCGGCATGGCCACCTCAAAGTCCATGTTCGCCTCGGCACCGGCCGTGTCCTGCGTCGTGGCCGGCCCTGTTGCGCCATCAATGGCCCGCAGTTCGGGCTTCGTGCCGTCGGGAATCTCGGGCGCCGTGTACGAGAAGAAAATATCCAAGTCGTCTTGCGAGTAGTGCTGGCCGGCCGTCTCGAAAATGCCGAGCTGGTTGCCCGACACAGGCGTCACCTTCGACAACGAAGAGGGCAACGGAAGGCCGTACTGCGCTCGGATGCACTCAAACGTGGCAAACTCGTCGCAGCCGCCTGTGACCCAAGGCGCTGCCGCTGTCGTTGCTTTCGTGGCTGCCGTGGCTGCCGCCTGCTCTGTCCTGCGCTGCAGCCGGGCTCCGTCTGTATCTTTCTCTCGTCGACGCAGACCCAAGGCCTTGACACCGTCGCTGAACCCGTACGACGCCAGTTTGGTGCCGGGCGTGATGTAGTCAATGTGTTGCTGCAGCGCCGCCGGGACATGATATCTGTAGATCAGCAAAAGCGGACTCCTTGTTCCAACGAGACAAGTGAATTGACCTACTCCGGACACGCCGTCACGTTGACGCCACTTTGTAAGTGCTCGTAGCTGTAAAACTTGGCCCGCAGCAGCTGCTCGGCCTCGTCGACGTGCGCGTCAAACTGCAGCCACTGCCGGTTGGCGGACAGAGACACGCGGTCGGCAGCGACTCCGCCCGACTCCACCACCCATCTCTTGACAGCTTCGACGGCCTCGTCGGCGGGGGCAAACAGATCCGCCACAGCGTTCGCCGTCAGGTGCTGGCCGTAGAGGGGCGAGGCCGGATCGGCGCGGTCCATGAGCATACTGTGTGCGTTTTGGACGGCGGCGTCGGACTGTACGAAGCCGATGCGCATGGGCAGGAGATGTTCCGTGGAGGAGATGGCCAGGCGATCGCGGCGCTTCCATCCTTGGATGTGCCGAGGCTCATGCCACTCATGGCGAACGAGGTCGTGGCGAGGTCGAAGTCGTGTTGCCGCTGCGTCTGCTAATGTAGACAACAAGGCGGAACATAGAGCGACAGATGTGGCTGATAGGATCTGCATCGTGTCGAATTCAGCGGCGTTGCGCGAGACAGTATTGCAAAAAGGTTGCTGTAAGAATCATCAATGCCTCTCGAGGAAACAGTCGACGAGCAGGCTCAAGTACTCCCCCCCTTTTCCGTCATCATTCTACATCGTAGACGCAGAATATCCGGCATACGGCCAACAGAGGGCAAGCGAAAGAAACAGAACAGAAGAATGGAGGAGAGAGGAGCACCGACATCTTCTTCGCGGTTAAATAAATCGTCCATTTGCACGCTTAACTCTGCCGCCGTTGGTGCAGCAAGCAATATGTCCAAATTGCATAGTGTACTTTGCATGGCGAAAGTCAAGGATAAATGGAAAGAAACAATCAAATCAAAAATACATAACCAACAGACATGGAGCAAAGATCCGAACCCAAGGTCGGCTTGTATGTAAGAGTCAAGAAGAACTAAAACATTATATAATAAGAAGGAGGTTTAACTGATGTACCCAAAAAAGACGAAAAAAAGAAAAACTGATAAATGAAAGTGGCGTTGATGAAATCGTTGAAAATAAAAGCAACATTTCTCCGAGGTATAAAAATGCAATAAATCGCAGAGTGTATAAACAAAACAGACGCTACTCCCACAGCCGTCGGGTACCTTTTTTGTTTTTATTTTCGTGATTTATTGTCCGTCACCGCTTCTCGCCTCTTTTGGTGTTTTCGACCGTTGTCGACGCATACAGCCCACAATCTACGACGGCTATGCAAGCTCGTGCATCTCGCCGTGGTGGTTGGCGTTAAAGTCTTGCGCACCACCGACAGCATTGCCGCCGGCCTCGTGGATCGTCGCCGGCACCTGCGCTTGGCCACCGGGAGCGAGGCCACCAACGGCCGTGTTGCCCGTGGTCTGTGGGCTAATGGCGCCCGTGTATGGACTGCTGCCGGCAGCGCTGACGCTGCTCATGCGGTAGTCCTGCACAGAGGAGCCAACAGCCAGGGGGGAGGTCGAGTCGGTCCGGTCGGGAGAGGGCGCAACAGCGGCAGCAGCGTAGTATGGCTGCTGTGGCACGAACGGCTGGCCCTGGCCCTGGAAGTAGGGAGGCTGGCCCGGTTGCGGGCTGCCTTGGCCGGCGTACGCGTACTCGGCGCCCTTGGTTGGGTCGGCGGCATAGTACTGGTTAGGAGGCGGGGTGTTGACCTGAGACATGCCAGGCGAGCCGGCGACGGCAGCACCAGCCAGGGGAGCACCATCGGGACCAACACCAGGGGCAGGAGCACCCGCGGCGGCGGCACCAGGGCCGGCGGGGCCACTCTGCAAGCCGTTGTTCTTGCGCTGGGTGCGGAGGACGAAGAAGATAGCCGCCGCAATCAAGGCCAGACCGGCAACGCCACCGACAACACCACCAGCAATGGCACCGGTGTTGGTGCTCTTCTTAGGGGCGGGACTGGGCGACGGCGACGAGGAGGCGCCGCCAGAGCTCCCACCGCCGCTGGTTGTTGGGTGGGAAGCCGAGTTGGAGGACTTGCTGCTGCTGGTAGGGTGAGCACCAAACGTCTCGGTGTCGCCAGCTGTGCTGTCGAGGGTGGTGCTGGCACCAAGCAGCGAAGCAGAGAACGAGCGGCCGTCGGTCTCGCCTGCGTAAGTAGTGAGAATGGGCTGCATGGTGGAGACGGCCGCATCGTTACAGAAGTAGCCGTAGACCTTGAGCGAGGCGCCGCCGTTGATGCTGACCGAGTTACAAAACGGCGCATCGGAGCTGGTACACTTGAGTGTGAAGGTGTCGGACTGGCAGCTGGAGCCGCAGGCACTCGAGGAGAAAAACGCGGAGCTGTCGACGCAGCCCAGGTGGAAACCGCCGCAATCGCCATCGTCACAGCAGCCAATATAACCGCTCTTGCTGAGTGTGATGATAGCACACTGGGCACTCACGTCGTTACAAGTGTAGGCGTCATCTGGCCAAAGGCAGTTAGCATCATGTACGTGAAAGGACCCGAATTGAGTCGTGCAGGCGACAGGTTGCATGCGGAGAAGATGTTGCACATACCTTTCTTGCCGGAGAGGAAACCACAAGTGTTGTCGGGGGCGTAGTAAACCGTTGTCTCAGAGGACGCGCGACGGAACAGGTTGTTGCGGCGCAGCTCGGGCGGAGATGTCGGCTTAGGGGACATGGCATCGCCTGGGATGTCTGGCAGGAAGGTGGCAGGGGCGGCCTCGTACTGAATGGCCTCGACCGCCGCGCCGAACAGCACGGCGGCAGCGAGGAGTGCCGAGACCATGGTTGGTGAAGAACACAAGCTGACGTGATGCTGAGGCTCGTTTCGTCTGGGTTTATAGAGTGAGAGGGAGAGGAAAGGAAGGACAAAAAAAGAAAAAGACAATGAAAAAAGGCGAGTGAAGGGCAAGGGAAACGTAAAAGAAAGTCAACCACTGGCTCGAAGAAAACAAACGACGGTACCCGACAAGAGAGCAGCACAACGAGAGACGACAACTCGTGATGCAAAAAGGAAGAGAGACACAGGCCAAGAAGAAACCTAAGACCTAAATGAAGGAAAGAAAGAGACTGCCAGGTCGAGAGGGACGTCGGAGACAAAAAGGAGATTTGGTTTGATTGAAGTCTGCCCGTCCATGTAATTACCTCGCAGCGCAGCCCCAGGTTAGTGTGCACCAGACCACAACTCCAACGCGCGACCGAGGGTCCCAGTCCGCGATTTCTGGGTCTTCAGTCTTTGTGCAGCCTCAAAACCGGGGCAATGATACGGCCAGTTAAGACGTCGTTCATTGGGGACGAGGGGACCCAGCCAAGCCTCAAAAGCAGACTGCAGCATTTAGCTTCCGTGGTATCTGGTGTGGGTTCCTCTTGATCTCTTTTTCAGCCTCTTTTCTTTCCCAATCCTTTGTCCTCTTTTCACTTCTTCGAACAGGCCATGGTGAAGAATCTGGACCGTAGGTCACAGACTTTTGCGATCCAGCATCGCTTTGTAGCGAAGTTCCTCCTTTTTAGTCACCGTTTCGACGGACTGTGACTTGTCTTGATGAGCATCTCCTCGTCCGCCTCGGTAGTGTCCCTTCGCAGAATATAGGGTGGGGTCCCTTTGGGCGAACCGCACTGAATGAGCCAATGGGCTGGGCCGCTGGCCGAGCTGAGCTGCAATACTCCGTAATCCTTGCTTGGGGGTTCTGGGGTCTCAAGGACCATGACAAGCCCGTCGCTGGGGCTGCCGTACGACGATGGAGCAAAGAACGGAAAGACACTGTGGAAATCAGCCTGCCGCGAATGGCGCGCCGTAGGACCGGTCGGAAAGAATGGCATACGCCCTGTGTGAGCGTCAGGGAAGTGCCTCCAGAAGACCCAGAAGACCCAGAAGACCCTTCATTTTGTACAAATGTCTGTCTTTGTTTCTTTCTTTCGTTTTCTTCTTCTTCTTTTTTTAGCATCTCGCCCTACCTCTTGTGACTTTGTTTTGTTTTGTCGTCATTTCGTCTTTGCCTCCAGGCCGCTAGTACTCGGAAGATACAAGAGCCTGCCGCACCTCGCTTGATCTAACTTTGACTCCGCAGTCCAGTCCGACCAACGGCTTCACCATAGGGCAGGCACTAGTTTGTGGCGACGTTGGCGCTTGTCTTGACGGTTCAACTGTCTCGATCAGCTTGAGATATGTAGGGACCCGAGGCAGTGGGCATCAGCAAACAGGGCACAGGTTCTGGTCCAGCAAGGCAGAGAGAGTGAGCACTTGGCGGAGAAGCGTAGTCGATCCTGGAGGAAAGTTAGAACACATCGACGCAACAGGAGGGGTCTTCGTGAGCCACCGTCCGGCTAGGAAACTATTTAAGACAATTTTGGCATGCAAAATAGTCCAAAAGAGAGCACTGGAGAGGCTGTGACGATGTCATACCCGTTACCTTGAGGCTGCCTTCAGTGCATTGTTTTCTGTCCAAGAGGCAGATTCGCCTCGCGCGAGGAATGGGCAGAAAACGTGCGTTATGTGTGGTTGGTATTCGACTGGCATGCGGGATCCCTTTCGGCTGGGCGCGTAGCCGTTTTGCAGACGGCGTAAGATACTAAAATGTCTTTGTTGGTTGATTTTGAACCGGAAATGGCCCAAACGAAGTACGAAGGGCAAAGTTTGTTTCGCGCAGCTTTCCTATTTGGCCCACAGTTTTGGTTCCAAGGCTACCGGTGTCTTCCCTCGTCTGCTGTAGGATGGGCAAGAGCTCGCGGGTTGCGACTTCCCATTGTTGACAATCTGCATCGCACCCCTTACCCAGTTGCTCTTTCCCCAGCACCACGGTTCCTTGTTAGTACTTGCATTCCTTACACTCGCACTTTCCCAAAGACGCCCGGCAAGGTGTTTCTTTCCTCTATCGGCCTGAACGGCGCGCCGACTGTGCCATGCTCTTTACACTAATGTTTGAAGAAAACGGGAAATGAGTTGTCGTTCGTGTCTCGCCCCTTGTGATTTCCCCCGTGGCCACTAGATGCGCCAGTGCTAGTTTCCAATAGCCAATTCCTCTCTCGCGCCAGTCAAAGGCCAGCAGGTGGAGCCTTTGATGCCTGTCAAGCGGGTCCTGGCAAGTGCGCTTTCACTCTTTGAGTAAACGGGGTGGGCCTCCCGGTAGGCTTGGCAAGGCTTTTTATTTCGAGCTAGTATTTTTTTGCTGTTTCCTATTGACTTCACGTTTTAGCTCTCACGCTCATTGTCTTTGTTCACACCATCGTTCTTTCCCTTGCCGCGTGCCTTTCAAACTGGAGCTCCTTCTGTATTCTACCAATCCAACGCTGCAGTTTCCTATTTTCAGCCTCACCATCTCATTTTCGTAATAATTAGTCGTATTTCGTACCGTTGCCGTCCCCTCCCTCGTCTCTCTCTTCAATGTTCGAAAGGATCGGCCTCCCATTCGAAAACACTGCCCCAATACATTTGTATTGGTCCTATCGGCTGCATTGGCGGGTTTCTGTTTTCAACTTCTACTGAGCTTTCTTGAACAACTTTCCGATTTAAATGTAGCCGTCGTTGGAACGATGGCAAGAGAGAAAGCAACAGAGAAAGAGAAATCTGACTTCCAGGACTTTTTGTTTTCTTTTGTTTCGCCCGATACTTTGTCTTTTCGTCCGTCGCGTGTCTATGCTCACGCCTCAGTCTACTTCGAGAAAGAACGGCATCAGCGCGTTTGCGGCTCTTGAACCAACCGCGCACCCCCTGTAACAAAACACACGCCATCAATCCTTCGTGATAGGGTCCTTTGCCCGATGCCCCTGTCACAACAAGCTCAAAACACAAGAAACGGATGTCGATTTTGGCACCGTTCAGTGAGAAACTCTAAATGTGCAGAACCTGTAACAACCGAATCACCACACTCGAGTATCGCTGAAGACTCTGGTGAACCTGCAGCACAATTTTAAGCACATGGAAACACGCTTAATCAAATTAAGGTGAGTGATGACGCCACCCGATCGGACGTTTTATCCGTACCTTTCGTGTTAACCAGGAAGGTCCAGAAGACGACCTGTACCAAGCGGCCGTTGAGATAAATCTACGGCGTATGTTTTGATCTTGTTAGCTCCGACTTCTTTCCTGGCTGCTTTTCCTCCGGCGATGAAGCTCTGCTAAACAATTTCATTGTCTTCTTCACACGAATTGTTTCAGTGGAAGATTATATTGTCCAAGACTAACAAAAAGAGGCCTTATTACGGAGGTTTGCATGCATATATGTATATATATATATACAATTTATATACGTGCAAACTATACTGCAACAAGCTTGGACATGTTTGTGTGTCTCATGAGCGGGGCCACATGTTGAGACACAAAGATGAACAAAAACTCGTGAGATTACTCGGGCATGATATAACGGACCGCCTTGCGACCTAGAAGGATTTGGATTTCTCCACCGTTCCAGCCATGCACCCCAACTACTAGATTCGAGCCTGAAGCTTGCGTCTCCTGCCAAGGCCTCGGTAGGCAGCTCAGGAGACGGAGCAGTGCTTATGAATTGCTACATGGCACGATGATGGTATCGGCCCGGAGCCTGGCCCCGATTGTCGGTTCCAGCCTTGTGATGAATTTTTACTTTGTGTCCCTGAGAGAAAGGGCACAATGACGTCGTTGTATCAAACCTTGGTCCATGATATCACCGGTTGCATGGGGAGCGTGTTCTCAAAGAAAATGGTTCAGGAACACCGTAGTGTCCACTTTGTCCATTGTTATATTGCGTAAAGTATCAGTCATAAACTAAGGGGGTAATGAAAGCAGCGAGTGAAAAGAAGGAGAAAAAAATGACAAAACTTTGAGCAAAACCAAAACCGAATCCGTCCGTCTGGCCCATGCGGTCATGTCGTCAGGGGGTTTCTCGCGTGTCCTCTGGCGATGCTAGTAAAAAGAGAAAAGGACAAAAATAATCCCACTGTAAAGAGGAAAACCAACATACCCTTCAGTTTGCCATCCCTGATGATCCATGCCGTGCCGTGTTTGAACCCTCCTGTGTGAATGTTGTATCTCTTTTGTGTCCCTGACACCCAAAACAATAGCCGCCTGTTTCTCGAAAACGCCGGGTGTGAACAGAAAGAGTAAAAAAGAAAAGGGGGAATAGTTTGTTGAAAAACACCGAAAAAAAAGGTCCGCAACGCCTATCGTGAAAAGAGACTGAGAGTCTCAATGCGTAATCCATGTTGGAGGTTGCTGGTGGCCGATCAAAAAACGGCAAGTGACGAGGACGACAGCGAGCGCCGTGTCTGCCGCCGCTTTGCGCGCGGAGACAGCGTCGGTGACGTGATGGCCACGGCTGCTGTGGCTGCTGGGGAGGGAGCAACAATGGCACCGCTGCCGTTGTGGACGTTGATATCATCGCTTCCATTGGCAGCATGGTTGCCGTTATCGTCGAGCGAGGCTGTCAGCATGTCCGTCAGAGAGACCTTATCTGTCGTCCGCTTCCGCTTCAAGCTGCGCATTTTCTCCTGCTTTTGCTGCTGCTCGGCCACGGCCTGGGCCTCCTTGTACCGTGCAGTCGCTTTGTCGGCTTCGGTGGTGGTATCGGCATCGCCATTGCCATTGCCATTGGCAGTGGTATGGCCATTCGTGTTGGTATCCCCGTTGGTATCGCCGTCCTTGGCATCCTCCATGTCGTCCTCGTCGTGGCTAAACAGGTCCATGGCCTGTTGCACGTCACCAACCAGGTCACGGCCAAGAGCCTTGCCGAGTCGTTCCCGCAGGCCGAGAATCGGCCACACGGGGACCCGGGTGTATTCAATGTGCATGCCGGCCGGCTCCTCCGTGCTAGG